GCTGAGATTGCATGGGAAATAACTGGAATTTGAAAAGCCAGGCTTAAACTCTGGCAGCTTTTGAAACACGTGGAATATTTAGAGCAGTACGTCTGCCTTCCCCCCGCACTCTGCTGGCTTGCCATGTAGGGGAGGGTTTACAAAGCAGAGCCTGTGCGTGACAGCCATGAACAAAATTATCATTTAAAAAAAAAAAAAAAGAAAGAAAAAAAGAAAAGGCGAGGGAGGGGGAATATCACTATCATAATCCCAGTGCGGAAAAAGGAGGGTAAACCACACCAGTATTGCTGTTAAACCCTCACTGCTCATTTCTAGCCGGGGGATGGGGGTTGGAGCCTGGAAGGCATCTGCATTGCCCAGGAGAAAGAAACGCGGTGCCTTACCTGGACCTCCTCCATCCCTGGGTGTCCGATGCCATGCAGGGAAAGGCTGTCCCCCATGCCGGAGTCAAGGCCATGGTGAGCTGAGTGCAGAAGGACATCTGGCCTCCTTACTGAGTGGTAGTCCCGCCTGGGGTCCAGTCCCGAGAGCTGGGGCAGGGCGGCCCGAGGCTGTGGCAGCAGCGACCCGGTTTCTGATCCCACCTCTTGCCTCTGCCTCTGTCCCCAGGGGTGCTGCTGGGGTTGATGCAAGGGGTTTAGGGAGTAGGGGTCATTGACATGGGAGTAAGGGTCCTGGCTTTGGTGGTAAGGAAGAGGCTGGTAGGGGGGTGGGAAATAAGGCGGCTGGAAATCCGAGGATGGGGTGTGAGAGAGCGGAGGAGCGCTGGAGTAGGGTCCCTGGGAGACGGATCCCAGCTGGGACAGCCTGGAACTGTGGCTGGGCACTCCATCATGCCGGTCCTACAAGCGGAATGAAATAAAAACAACAAAAAAAGAGGACCTTTTAGAAAAAAAAATAAAAACCAACAAAAAAAGAAAGAAAGAAAGAAAGTAAAAAGAGCACAAACCCACCCCAAAATAAAACAAAATAAAAATGTAAAGAGTTGTAAACTAGGGTTCAGAAGTGCCCCCTCCCCCACCGCGGATTAGAAACGTTCCCGCGTTTCGCACCCAGATCGTGTCTATTCCCAGTAACTATCAAGAAGGGGGGAAGGGGGGGTGGTGGTGGTGGTGAGGGAGAAGTGCTAAATGTCATAATTAAAAATGTAGGACTGGTGCTCCATATGTGTGTATGATCTGTGACTTCAGTCCGGTAACGCGAGTCCCCCTCCAGCAGCCCCCCCCCAAATAAAACCAAAGGTTAAATAATAATAGTAATAAAAAAATAATAAAAAAGAACGCCCAAACCACCCATGTCTCCGAACAACCCACCCCTTGTCCTGCCTAAAGTTTCCAAACATCTGTTTATCCCCTCTGCTGAAGTCCTGAAACTCAAAATCACCAACCCATCTTCACGTGGAAAAGACCAAAAGGAAAGTTGCACTTCTCGGAGGGCACCGAGGTAAGAAGTTGTCCGAGAAAGGACTTGGGAAAAAAAAACAAACCAAAAACAAAAAACAAAACAAAAATCACGGGGGCTCTTTGTATAAAGAGAGTCCACCCCTAAGAAAAAAAAATAAATTAAAAAGTCAAATAAAGTAAAAATGAAACATCGGTATTGAACAAATCCAGTCGCTATGATTTCTGCAGCAACTTCCAGTGTCTTTTGTCTCCTTTTCCAATATTATATTCCGGAGAATGGGGTGGGGGTTAATTGTAATGAAAAGTAT